CGATGACTTCGGACTAGGTGCGTTCTACTAAGTCTTCCTGACAACAAGACCAACCCACTTCTCTAAATCGAAAGGAGACTGCGACCATACCAGACGGCATAACATCTTGATCTTCATATCTTTAACTAATCCTTTTCAGCTATCAAGATTCAAAAGCTAAAGTATATTGTTTGACCACTAATAATTTTGCTCAAGCTTCGATTTTATATTGTATTTCCTATTTCTAAATTTCGACATCCTGTCGTCAAGATTCACAAGTTGAAACACACCTCATCTTATGGTGTCGCTATGGATTCCTTGAACCGAAGCCTGAAGAATTCATAATGTCTTGCAAAATTTTTGGCTTCAGCTCATCTTAGACATTAACATCGGCCCCAGGTACAGCCTTGGCTAGAGATATGAATTGTTGCCGAGTGTCTATGAATTGCCCCAGACGCACACACTTTGTCGCTATGCCATCTTGACATTTAGACGGGGATGCCATTTCATCTGACCTCTTAGCGGGAGTCGAACTCCTGTCGCTTGGCGCTTGGTTAAGACATGAATTTTTTAGCAAAATCAAAACCTTTTTCTACTTGCATCGAAAGAGGGAACTATCAGCAAGTTTCTAATGCTTTTATATTCGACTGATAGCTACCCTCTCTGCAACGTAATGAAAAGACTCAATTTTCACAATCTATTCCATGTCGTCATTTGTTCCAAATAGCCGTTTTCGTCGCGGTTATCACCCACTCCAAACCAGGATTCGAGCCGTGAACGTTCATGCAAACATGCTGCATTTGAGCAACTCGACCATAGCTCCGTTGAGTTACACGATAAGGCCCACTTACCAGACAAAATGCACACATCCTCTTCTGCGAAATAGGCAGTGTGTGTTTGCTATTTGCAAACTAATTATATAAGCTGTGCGTAAATATGGGTTTGTAAGGCTAAATAAGGGTTTCCGTTTACTCCAAACCATTTTTGCATCAAGATAGTATTATGGTAATATAAAAATTTTAAGCAATATTCCCCTTCTCACTCTTTCCTTTCTCTCCTTCTCTCCGCTTTTCTGTACCTCTGTGAGTGCGCATGTTTATGCGTCAGTCTTGCCGTCCGTGTGTGTATCTCTCTCTTTGTCCGCTTACTTGTTTGTTTCGAATCTTCACATCGAAGAAAAAGTTGGTTAAAATATTCATATAGAATAAAGACTGTTGGGTTCTGTAAAGAAGTCTTCGGCTCACCTTCTAGGGAGGCTGATGAATTAGTACTGAGTTTTCGTCAAAGCTAGAAAGCATACTTTATGAAAAATCATACGAATAAACTTCGAAACCCAGTTTTTATTCATATATTTGTATGTTGTATATTTGGATGCTTATTTTTATCTCTATCTCTACATATGTCTGTCTGCCTTTCTACCTCTTCCAAGAACTCCTTCTTTTACATCTTGACTCAGAACTTAGATATTTACAGGACAATCAGCTGAGTCTATATCTATACTCTGAGTCATATTTGATGGTAAAGAAGGATTAAACCTTCGAGTTTTGGAGAGCTCAGACCGTCTTTCAGTTGTCGGCTTGCATAGCTCGTTTTCCAGAGTTATTTATTAACGCTGGGGCGTTATTTATGGAGAATTTGAGGTAAGAGGATCAGTCTAGATGCACCGAAGATTCGGTTTGCGCCAGGTCTTATTGTTTGTATCTCGAGTTCAATGTTAACAGGTTGTATAATTTTAGATATGTAGACTGTATTCCGAAATGGGGCCGTCGAGGCACCAGTCTTCTGGACTGGGCAAGATAAGCAATTACAGAGGAATATAACTGTTTTGAAGACCCCTACCTGCTAGCAATCCAGCCGTGATTTGCCATCTTGCTTCCTTTTGAGATTTTCTAAAACTCCTTTATGCTATCCTCCATCGACATATCCACGCACGCACACACAAACACTTTTCTTTACCCCCTTCCATGCGCGCCCAAGCCAAGTGCTTATGCTTTTCAACAGATAAAAACGGCATATCTACACTTTCACACTGTTGTCATTTGCCAAATGTTCAATTCGTTAGATTATGGCGTTCTTGAAGCGTCCATTTTCAGAATGTCAGTCCTTTCAATGGTTGCTTCTTATCATATCGGAAAATCTTCCTTCAAGAATCCGCTATGTTAGAAGCACTTGTTTAAAATGCACACTTTAAGACCGAACGCCGACGAAGAAGACATGAACAGGGTCTCCAGCTGCTAGGCAAATTCATAAAGTTATGTTTTTCAATGAGGCTGCAATTATTGAGGTGGAGTCATTACATGCCAAACCCATTTTATTCAAGCTTGTGCTGCTCTCTCCTGGACACGGTCCCAGCAACTGTGCAACATAGTGGCCCTAGGACGTAGAGTATAATCTCGACAGGGCCGTTTGGGAGGCTATAATCTAACCTTTAAAGATGGTTTTCCGAATTTGCGAGGCCAATCCCCAGTTCATTCCGTTGTATTGTACAAAACAGAAGCTTGAGGGTCAACTAAATGCCATGTCCAGCTCGATTTGAGCAACGTTGAGCAGTACAGAAGGTGAAACTATACGAGTTGCGTTCACCCCATTTTGTTTAAGCTGATGAAGGACTGGTCGTCGACTTATCCCACAATGATATGAGTAGAGCTGATGTTTTCATTAAATTTCGCATAGCTTTGCTTTCCTAAAAAGTGTCGTCATCCGGGGTGGACTGGAGTTTCGACATCGCCTAAGTCTTATCAACACCCCGGCGGGAGTCGAACCATAAGGGTACAGCGTGTAATTCTGACACGTTAACCACTACGCCACATTTCCACGAGTGCCCTTGGGTCACAGGGCAGATGTGAATTTAAAGAAAGGCCAGGCATTTTCCTATATCATATTCTTAGGTTGGATTGTCGAAGAAGCAAAGTTATATTTGCCATGACAGTCAGAAATGGGTTGACCTCGTTGTCGCAACTTGGTCTTGTTGTCAAGGAGACTATGTAGAACATGCCAATTCCGAAGTCGTCTGCCATAGTAGTTGTCATGATTCCTAACATCTGACAGTGGACTTGGTATATTCTCAAACGTTTCGCCGCCAATATAGTCGACATCATCAGTGAGTTTTGCCATTCGCCGCACCAAGCTACGAACTCGTCAAAGAGACAAGTGAAGTCAATCCCTCCACAAGTTGTGACCATACCAGAGGCCACAACATTTTGGTCTTCATATCTTCATATATGCCGTTTTATTCGGTGGAGCTATGGCCATGCCCACGGTTCGAGACCCGCTGGAAGTACCAGTGAGTCTTGAACGTGTCCATAACTATAGCTGGGTGGATGTGTACAGTAGTAGTAGTAGTCCTGATAGTCCCGACTGACTAACCTCCAAATGAACAGTCACCAACGCTAAAGGTTTTGGGTTGCTATTAGCATTGATCATTTGGCTCTCAGGATGTCGAAATTGAGAATTAGGAAATACAATATAATATTGAAGCTTGCGCAAAATTATTAGTAGTCAAACAATAAAAAAATCCTTAGTAATGTTAGATTATACTTTAGATTTTGAATCTTGATAGCTGAAAAGCATTAGTTGAAGATATGAAGACCAAGATGTCGTGGCCTCTGGTATGGTCACAGTCTCCTTTCGATTTATAGAAGTCGGTTGACCTCGTTTTCGCAACTTGGTCTTGTGATCAGGGCGACTATGTAGAACGCACCTAGTCTGTCATAGTAATTGTCATGATTCCCAGCATCTGACAGTGGACTTGATACATTCTAGAACGTTTGTCGAGGGATTGACTTCCCTTGTCTCTTTGACGAGTTCGTAGCTTGGTGCGGCGAATGGCAAGATTCACTGATGATGCTGGCGAAACGTTTGAGAATGTACCAAGTCCACTGTCTGATGCTGGGAATCAAGACAACTACTGTGACAGACATCTTCGGACTAGGTTCATTCTGCATAGTCCCCCTGACAACAAGACCAATTTGCGACGAGGTACACCCACTTCTATAAATCAAAAGGAGACTGCGACCATAACAGATGCCACAAAATCTTGGTTTTCATATATACATTATGTCAGCTTTACTCATGCCATTGTGGGAAAATTGGGCCACTAAACCTTCATGACCTTAAAAAAAATAGGATGAGTTCATCTCATATAACTGATTTACTGGTAGTCTTGGAATCCTATTCATGAGCGAAAAATGAAAAACACATATTTGCCTGATCTACAATCCAACTATAGCAGCAAGTTAGAAGGGACCTGGCTTGCCTTGGATGTCGCATTTGCCATGTAGCCCATAGAAACGCGTGATAATGGAGTTAAATGGATTGGTTACATCGCAACGATACTCACAACCCAGTATCGATAGCGGCTGAAGGGGCTGATGGGACCCAGGCGAGGAACCAGCTCAGATGGTAGCATATTTTTTGGAGAAAAGAGTAGGTGTAATTCAATGGCCTCGGGAAGTCCATTTGTTTAATCATGGAAAAGCCCAAACATCATTCTTTAAATAATCTTATATGACCATGGTTGTTGCAATAGGATTTAAGGGTTCAATTGACTAAACTGCTTAAAATGATTGATAGGCAATGCTCTGAGTAGGTCACCCGTTTCCAATGCATTTCACGGCCTTGCCTCCCAAATGGCATTCTCATCCAGGCCGGATTTCACTTTCGATCTCGCCTAGGTATGATCAGCACCTCTGGCGGGAATCGAGCCCGGCAAAGACGACTGGACGGCTTATTCTCGATTTAGGGCTAATTTCGAAATCTACTTATACGGATATAAGTAGCGTGAAGTATAAGTTTGCTTTATCGACGCTCTCAGTGTAAATGTGAATTGGGCAGGCCCAGGCTGCCTTGAAATGAGTGAAATCCCATGCAGACATGTGATCCACTCATGCGATTGTAGAAGTATTCAACAATCTCTTCTTCATCGCCCTACGCGACTTGGAGTGACTGGAACTCTTGTTTAGATTTATTGCTAGTTTCAAAGTTGACTTTCTATGAAAATGCTTTATACAAAAAATAACAATCGTCCGCAGTGTGCTTATTCACGTTACTTAGACGACCGGAGCAATCGAATCCAGCACCCTTACGTTGGCGTTTTAATTCTGTCCCCTTTTCTTCTGTCCGCTCTCGAACCCAGGAGCACGAGTTGAATGGACAGACGAGCAAATCCGTGCTAACAACTACGCCGGGCTCCACGTCTGTGAGTGGACAAACTTTCCTGCCCGTCAGTTGTCTCAGTCTCTCCAGCCCCGGCCTTCGCAGACTGTCTGGGCCGATGCTGGCTCTTCTGGACGCCTGCGCCTCTCCCGGCGCCGGACTGGTCGGGCTGCCTTCTGAGAACCCGTCCCGATGTGCAGCCTTCAACAGCATCGGTGACCTGATCGGTTGTCGCGAGTCCGGAGGCGCAGATGACAGCGCCAGTGGTCCAGTTGCCTGGCGACTTGGACAGATTGGGAAGAAAAACCCACCCAACTGCCAAGACAACGACACAGCCGGGGGCTCTGGCAGATGGACGGGAGCCCTGGGCCGTGGCCCGTTGACGGGTGGGGAGACCATCTCAGCAACCGGCGAGTCCCAGACACCGCTCATCTGCCGGGACGTCTTCAGGCCGTCGGCCGACATGCTGCCCTTCGTCTGTCCCCTGCCAACTCCCCTCGGAGAGCTCAATCTACCGGCCGCCTTGTCGGCCCTCTTCGAATCTGCCTCGGCTGGCGCCCCACTCACCGGCTTTGTGCCGGCCTTCGCAACCGAGCCCCACACTTCCGGCGCCATAGGCGACCCCATCGGGTCGGGCAACAGTTGCCATGCGGAAAATCCGGTGCCTCTGCAGACGCCCGTTGCCAATTATTTCCAGAATGCCTCCGTGCCCGCATGTCAAATCAACACACCCGCATTCCTCACGCTCCCGTCACCCTCCGGCGCAGCGCTCGCTTTTCCACCCGCCGACAGATTCAATTCGTCAGCCTTCAAGCAATCAGCGCTCCAGATGACTTTCGGCGCAACAGCCTCTTTTCCATCATCCAACTTGAACCTACCGACCGTCTGGTCAGCCACAGATGCCTGCTCCGAGTATGCTCTCTCCCCGATCGCCACGGCCTCGACTGCAGCCCTGACGACGACGACGACGACGACGCCAGCCATCGGACTAATGAACTCGTCCTCTTCCAAGTAAGCGTGGGAGCAACATATTTGCCGCTTGGTCGTTCAAGAGAAATATAAACACAATACTGTAGTCTAAATCTTATGCTCTGTAATGCTTACTTTGCCTCATTATGATTTTTTTAGGTTACGATTTAATTTTATGTAATACTACTTACTATATCAATTTTGAGTAAGTCTTCAAGACTACCAGCAAATAAGATATATGGGATGTTTTCACTCTACTTCGTCTAAAGTGATAAAGGACAAGTAGTTGAATGCTCTCACAATGTTATGATTAGAGCTGACGTTTCCATTGGATTCCACATAGCCTTGCTCGCGTAAGTCTTGTAAATACCCCAAGTTGGACTCGAACCATGACAGTGCAGGGTGTAATGTCGACAGTTCAACCACTACGCCATATTGCCACGAGTGCACTTGGGTGACAAAGCAAATGTGAATTTTAAGAAAAGCCAGGTATTTTCACTTATATTTGCGATAGCCATCGATGGCATTACGTATTGTTTTCGTTTTCAGTAGGTTTTCGAGACCACCGGTTAATCCGGTGACTTTAAGCGAAATGGGGTGAGCACATCTTATGGATCTGATTTACTGGTAGTCTCAAAAACGTAATCAAAACGAAATAAATAAGTAATGTCTTCCATTGCTTTAGCAAATATTAGTTTGTTTCATCGACAATCTTACCACAGAATGTGATATGGGAAAATGCCCAGCCTTCCTTGAAATTCACACATGCCCTTTGACCCAAGGGCAGTTGTGGGAATGTGACGCAGCGATCGAAAGTATATTCTGAATTATCACGCCTTGAGTCCCGCTGGGAGTGTTGACAAGACATAGGCGAGGTACAAATTGCATTGCTGTCTGAATGAGAATAGCTTATGGGAAACAAGACTGTGTGAAATTCAATGGAAAAGTAAGGTCTACTCATATGATTAGGGGAAAATCCAACTAACAGTCCTTCATAACCTTAAAGGAATGGTGTGAACACATCTCATATTATTTTTGGGGCTTTTTATTGCAAATTGCGAAAACGCAGAAATGAAACTTTAATCAATATTTTATAATTCTGAGACTATCATATATATGGGACCTATGCCCTCCCAATATCACCTTTATGTGGTGGGATTGTTGACGAAGCTAAGTTGTATTTGAAGG